ATAGGTGGCAACAGATTCTATTTAAACATTATTAATTCACTTCTTCATTTGTATTGTAAAAAATGCCATTATTGAGAAGTTCCCAGAAAATAACAAACTTGACCTGTCAGGTCAGAGGGCGTGGTTGCAGCTCAAATCATGCAGAAAAACATCATGGTGGTAATTGCTTTGCATCAAGAGTTTGTGTACAACTGAAAACATTCAACAACAAAGACAATGACGACGACGACGATGACGATGATGATGATGATGATGATGATGATGATGATGATGATGAAGCGCTTGACTTTGACGTTTTTCTAATATTTTACACCCTAAATTCTGAATATAAATATGTAAAATAATAATATAATAAAATGTACGGTACATATTTTTCATAAACATTTTTGTTGTTTTTTTTCATTGTAGATGAGATTTGGAAATCAATGACAGTAATTTTGCAATGTAATTTGGCGAATGAAAATTGTTTTTTGGCTAATTTATTGAGTGGAATGCTCAGGTAAGTGCTATCCCCTAAAAACAAGCTTATCACTGAAATACAGATTGTACTTTCTCAATCAAATTTTGCCCGGGTGTAAGGCAATCTATGATTGGTTAGAGGAAAAAAAGATATTTTGATGAAAACAGAACAGAGTAGGGGAGTATGGAATGTTATTTATGCATTATGTAAAAACAGCGATGTGTGCAAACTCATATTATAATTTTCTTTTAATAATTAAATACTCATCAATGTTACCATGACAGCATACAATCTTTTTCTTTTTTTTCAATTATTGACAATGTATCAAAATTACACCTAAAAAAGCATTTTACTTTGAACAGACACACCCGATACTAGAAAATATCAGTCACAGGTGACGAATGTTATAACAAAGATTAATAATTTTTATGACTAATATTTAAATTCCACATTTAAGAATACTTGAGCAAGTAAGAACGGACAAAAGATGCAAGAAGAGTGTTAATGAATGCAGAGTCATGCCTCACCCTATGTTATTAATGACTTGCATGCGGTCTACATACAAGTAATGTACTTTGTACTCTCTACAAAGTACAGCAAACATATTTTTTTATGTAAAACATTCATTTTGAAAGAAGGGAGCTGCACATCTTTGAATGGAGAACTTTACAACCAGATATTATTAATACTCCCATCATCCCCTGGGTCAGTATTTCAGGGGGGTGGGGGGGGGGGTGATTGTCAGTATAGTATACTGCAGTTGATTTAACAGGCAGGTAACCCAGTAAAATAGGTAGCATGCACAGACACATTAATCACAATATTAAGTACTAAACAAATAAACTACGGACAGGCAACTGGCAAGTATGAGCCATGGCTGGTGATAACAGCAAAGGTTTCAGTAATTTGTCATTTTTATACATTGAAAAATGGGTTTAGTAAGGGACGACGTCAAAAGATCAATGTCGGATAAAAAACTTATTTGCTTTAGTTTGGGATGTGGGGGTGGGGGTTTGACCTCAAAAAGTTTCCATCCTACAAAAACGATTTTATTTTTTAATGAAGTCAAAAAAATCTTGGAGTATTTGTAGTTCGTTTTTTTTCTATCCAGTCAAGGACAGAAATAACCGTAAAGGAAAAAAAAACACATCCAAGACGAGAAAATGGTTTGGTTCGAGTGTAAATATGTGCGTCAAATGAGGTGCATTTGTAAAGTCTTTTTACACCCACCCGACAACCAACTGCTATGCAATACTACTGTCCGATTATCAATTTGTATTCAATGGTGAATGTAGTCCGACACCATGACCAATATTTATCAATTAAGTTTCAGTGGGGGTGGGGGGTGGGGGGTTGGAAAAAAACTAAAGGAATTAAGTTTTTTATCCGACATCGATCTTTTGACGTCGTCCCTGAAGTCACTGGCAGGGACACTAATTCTTACTATTCCGCCATTCCTTATGAAGGAAAAATATTTTTTTCCTCCATTGCCAATTAACGCCTATTCACGTCAATTGCTGTTACAAACCAAGGCGTATGATACTATTGTCCCCATTAAGGACAGATATCGTTGCCATTTCAGTTGTGTTTGAACTACCGAGTACTTTATTCTTCCTACAATTTGTTTATTTTCAATATTTTTCACATTTCATCAGTTTGCTTCACATCAGACTAGCTAAATTCACTATTGTGGGAAGAAATTTAATCCTGTGATAATAGATTTCTGTAATTTACAGCAATATATAAAAATAATATCTTGTACAATCCATCCGGGATCAACTGTACACTATATTTTCTCGATACTATAGCATAAAAGATGTCCACAAATGACAATATGTAATTATAAAACAAATTTACACTGTGACCCCCTCTATCCTTACCACCTACTTCCCCAGAATTATGAATGGTACAATCCAATTCAAAGACAAGGACAGAATTCATACCAGGGTTCTCGCAGAGTTGAAATAAATAGTGTTCAGAAGAATAATCCCTCCTTAAAATAAATCCCCACAAAAAAATAATAATAAAAAAATAATGCTGACCCTAAGATGTAATTTTTTAACAACCAAAAAAAAAATATAAATGTATAAATAAACAGATAAATATATGCAGTTTAGAGATTCAAGACCACCTTGCTGAGAGGTATATTATTAACATAAACAGCATTTTTTTTTATTCTTAAATTTTGTGATTAGAATACTACACATAAATAGTTGTCATAAATTTGAGTTGCGTGTTAATTATTATCACTGACCATTCATGCAATAATAGCTTATTTCAACATGAAAGCTTTCTCCGCATGTACATGTATTGAGATTCACAGAGAACAAACTGCAGGAAAAAAATGACAGATAAAATATTTGAATTCATGCTTCCATCGGAAGGGGAAATTATTACAATGGTTGCCTATACTTGATTTTTTTTTTCTTTGCCCTTGCTTCTCATCATCAGGAAACATATTCACCGAGAGCTTAAAATAGAACAAGCTCTACAGGTAGTGTGTGAAGGTCGCCATTTTCAAGGAAGAATATCAGGAAATTAGCATTTTATTTTCATCTTGTACAAAATACAATTTGATTCTTAATTTGTTTAAAGATAGAGGTATGAAATTAATGAGAAAATAATGCACAAATATTTTAATTATTCGTATTAATTTGGTATTTGTGCCAAATGCATACAGGGTATTACTTTTCAAAAAATCATGAAAAATTCATTTAATTAAAAGTAATTTTACGAGATCATGCTCATTTTTTCATCATGAGTATATATTTATATATATTCTTTTTTAACACACAAACATGACAAAAAACACTAATTTATTCCCAGTCAACCAAAGCTAAAGAAAAACAATTGGGCTATACCAAGTCACTGACTAGACTAGGAGGGTGGGGTCACAAGGGAGATGGAGGGTACAGGGCAATCACACACATCTGTTACACAGCAACCTTCTCCTCTCACCCTCCTTTGTACCTCCTCCCTCCTCTCTGAACATAGTAGAACCCATCAACAGAAACATCAGGTTATACCAAATTTAATAGGGAAGGAAGGGGTAGATCATAAGAAACAAGGTCAGATTCCCTTTGATTTTAATACTGAACAGTCTTTCAGTCGCACTTCTATTGAACAACAATTTTAACAGACAGCACCACAATTATGTGCATAAACGTTTAATGATAATGTCTTATCCAGGACGAATAAGCAGTTGATACAGCATTTTACTTGAAAAAGGAAATTGCATTGGCTTTTTGAACATTAATAAATTATGGTGTTCTAACATTCTCCAACGACTCAGATGTCATGGACTGCAAAGTTTACGCAGAAATCATGCATTCTAAGCTATCAATATACTAAAACTAATAAGTTAAAAATTAATGATTTTTATGTGATGAGAACAGTATTTTAGATAAAAGGTGGATTAAATATTTATATATTCATGTAAATTCAAAGATGCTAACAGCAATCACAAACATTAACCTTCCAGTAGGAAAGCTTGATTCAGTGGAACAGTGATTTTATCTCAATACTTTCTGTTAAATCTCAATATTTTCCAACACATAAAGACAGATTTATTCCACCCACCCCAATCCTGTCTTTCATTATTATAATATCGTTTTTTCATTTAAATGAAAAAACATACACGCAAAATTTAAATAATAAAAAGTAACAGCATCACTCAACTAAAACTGATTTTTAAAAAATAATTTTAAAACAGTAAATTGCAGTTGCCCAAATACAGAAAAATAGCTTGATGCTACGGTTACAAATTATTTTTAAAAATACAGGATTGACGGTTGATAACAAAATTGAAAGATTCATAGAAAAGCTGTCACAGAAGTTGTGACTGACTGTCATAATATATCGCAATGACAGTGTGTTAGCTGGAATCTCAATGCTGCTAAAAATAATATATTTTAACATAATCCAATTGCCAAATCAATAACATTATTATCATAACTATTTAGACAAGAATGAGTTTCATTTCAACGACTCTCGTACATTGCAAAACATTCTCTACAATAGTTTACTGAGTAGTTAATCAAAAAAACATTATTTTTTATCTTTGCTTTGCAAGAGTCAAGATACCAAGCTGTTAGGGTGATGAAACGTACTTCAGGACTTCATTGGATTCTTTTCTTGATAGCTCCGTCACAGATGATATGTTTTTTTCATGACAGGCACCAATTGGATGATTTTTAATGTAGTTAGAGAGAGCAACTGAATTTGGATGTCTGGCTCAAGTCACTTGGGGTGAAATGAGTTAATAAAATGCAATACGCCTTATAAGGACCCCACAGATGGAAAGAGTCACTAATGAATATCTACAGTACAGTATACTACAGTAAGTACTCTCATCTCTTCTCTTCTCTTCAAGGTAACCACTCCTAAATATTTCAATTAATTTTTTTATTTTTTCTGGATTTACGTATCAATTCAATGGAGTAGACATAAGAATCAGAAAGGCTGCAACAGTAGAAGATATCTGACAGAATAATATTGTCTAATTGGATGGGCTGGATAGATTATTAAAGGTTGTACTTACCTCGCATTGTGTCTGGCTTCAGTTCCCTGGGAGAGAGTAATAGTTCTTCATATTGCATACTCCCAGAGCCCTGGCCTAACTCCGGCAACCCTGTATCTTGAAAATCAGTTGCTACGGCAACAGGTTTGGAATCTCCTTTGGACCAATGAAGTCGCTGCCAAAGAATCCGAGCCGGGTTCACAGAACTGGAATCACAATCCATTTTACCACGAGATTTCCTTAATGGTGATACATCGGATTTACTACCCATGTACTTTCGCACTTGTCGTTTAGGTTTCTCCTTTGACAGTGAACTGGCCGGTGAATTGGACGTTGAAGCTGAACGTGTCTGTGCAGACTTGGGTCTCTCATATTCTTCCCTGCGTGACTGACGAGATGACCCTGTTAATTCTGGCAGTGAATCATCCCAGGAGTAGCCTGAAATACTAACACCTTTCCTGATATATCTTGGACTGGTCAGTGCATCATAATCGCTGGAGACCGTACTCGTTGTAGGTGACCTGAGACCCATACTGGGGCTAAGCTGAGAATATCTAGGACCCTTTTTACGTTCTCTTCGCCTGACTGATATGTCAACATCATCATCATCAATAAATTTGGTTTCATTGTCAAACACATCACTAGATGACTTGGGTCTGGTTGTTGGTCTGACTGGAGGCAGTTTCGGCCGATTGTTTGTTTGTGGAATTGGGTGCTCCTCCGAACTGATCACCACTTCTGGGGGTTTAGGGACGTCAAATTTCATTTTGGTAGGGCTACCCCTGGGGCTATTAAGCATTCTCTCTAGTGAGTTCCTACCTCTTCTAGACAATGACTCGGATGATGATTCCCAACTTCGACTCAAAGAGCTGTCATCAGCTTGACTCATCACTCGTTCTCTCGAATCTGAGCAATGTTCCATCCCTCCCATACCACAGTCGTTGCTGTACCGTTGATTTCGTGATTTTGATAAGTGCATGTAATCACTGTCGTTGCTACGACGGTAATAGTCATAGGTAGAACTGGGCGCAGTCGACGGCCGAGGGGGTGGCTCGTCTGATTTTGAACGCAAGTATCTCTGTGCCATCAATGAGACTACATCATCGTCACTGTGCCGCAGCTCTTCCCGTGATCTGTCGACAGGGCGAGAATATCGCTTATACGTTTCTATTTGTTTTGTTTTTACGGTAATCAACAGTCGTGAAGGTATTTTCATAACATGGCAGACTTCGTCGAGGTTCATTCGTGTGACATCAACGTTATTCACCGATAGTATTTCATCCCCGATTTGAAGCAGGCCGTTTTGATCGCAGACACTTCCAAGAGTAAGCCTTGAAATAAAAATCCCGTCTTTTTTATCAAATCCATCACCTTCCATAATATAGATGCCCAGAGTCTCGCCGGGTATTTTGTGAATTTCCACCGTCCGCAGACAACATGCACCGCCCTGCAATTCTCGCTCCTGAATCACGCACGATTTTACTTGTTTCCCTTCAACCGTCACCGTGCTAACGGAGCTGCCAGATAAGCTATCCGAATCATCCCGATCCATGTTCGATATTATTTCTTCCGTGGCTTGAATCTGTTTGACAATTTCGCTCGAGATCCCGGCGACCCGCTTTACTTGAAGTACGTGATGATCCAACGGTTCATACTGATAGTGTCTGTGCCCATCATTTGAAGTCGAGACATCATCACTCGAAGTCGTACTCTCCATTTTTTGTTCGGCCCACTGACACTGACATCGATGTTGTGTTCGCGCTCAGGCCCTTGTCTATGTTTTTTTTCTTTCCGGGAGAAACGATCGCTTTCAATAGCCCTTCTTTCGTCAACAATTTGGTAAAAACTTACCCTTAACGGTTAGCTTCACAAAATTTTCAGCGGAAACCCGCCGACTGCTCAATAACCCTTACATTTGGCAGTAATTTTACAGTGTCTGCAAGCAGCTGCATTGATCATCGATTTTGAAATTTTCACGAGGGTCAAAGGTTGCTTGAATAATTTCCGAATATTCCATTTGTACATAGGGGTGATGCGCATAAATTAAAGTTTAGGTAGCAATAAACATAATACTATAATCTCAGTCTGCATCATATTATCTAAAGTGGCGTCCTGTTTGCAGGGCTGTGGTCATGATATGTGCAACAATTGCAAACTTCTTCAAAGTGTGCCACTTCTGATAATCTAGCGGTTATAAATCAACTACGCTCATGCGCAGAAATTCAAAGCGCAAATTTATGTTCCAAGAATGGCACATCGCAACCAAGTAACTTGCATATTGCATAATTCACCACGCACTACGCCTTACACCCTAGTCAAGTTTTAGAATATTGCGATGCCATTGTTATCTCTTCATTTATGATGAAATGTCACTGTGTAGAAATGAGGATGAGATACATGCACAGTTATATAATAAATAAAGGTGGTCGGATCACCCTAAAAGTTATTTGGGACCTCTTTTCAAGTTTCCGTTCTGAACTTGTAAACACTAAAATAATCTATGTACACAAAGAATTTTTGCTAGATTTCATATTCGCTGATTTGAAGAAATTCGTGAAGTTGGGAATCATTATCCGAGTCATTGTTTAAAAGAGGTAGACGCTTAATAGCCCCAGGGTTAACCCTACCAAAATGAAATCAAAACGCCCAGTGTCTCGAGTAGGTGAATTCGTATAGTGTGTCGGACATAGTCCGTTACATGTAACGGCATATAGGGATTGTTATATAGCACACTGGCAACCAGACTAAAAGCTTACTTTGAAGAAAAAAAATCGGGGTAAATTAAATTCAAGATAATAAAAATATATATATATATAATATACGGATCAATGTCAGGTTTGATAATTTAGTCACATTTTACATATAGTACACCACATATAGACATTTGGTTATAATTTAGTATTTGAATTTGAAAGAATATTAGAAATGCCAAATATCAAATGCTGACATGGGGGTGCAAAATTAATTTTATTGAAATATCTTCACAAAGAATATTGCAATTTGTATTCTGAGTTTTATAATCCACAATGAAATGCTCTGTTTAACTCAAATTGTGTTTATTATTATCAAAACTGCTGGATAAAAGGTATTTTTTCTCTCGAAAAATCGTGATTTTGGTCATTAAAATCCGAATAATGTCATGTTTTATTTAGTTAAATTATACACATCGAGACACTAGTTTGATATATTTGATTATTTTTAGTGTTTTGAATTAATTTTTAAATATATTTGATTTTGATCAAGTTATGCAAATTAGAAAGTATCACAAAATAGTGAACGTGAACTTGTTTTTTGTTGAACACAGAAATTTGATCCTAAAATGTTATGTCTGTAAGGGTTAGTGAGGTGCATGGTAGGCCCCTTCAGCTCATGGACTAACGTATGTCGTTTTTAGTTCACGGTTAATGAAATAATCAATGTCGAATACAAATATAAGAAAAACAAACTTTGAATATGTAGAGTTGTTACAATTTCATAGATTGATGTGGATGGGGTTCGAAATTCATGAAATGTGGTACCACAAATGTTCCTAAATTATTAGTTAAATTTTAAAATTTCTAGTTCATTGAACTCTAATGAATATCATAACGTTATACATAGATAGCCTAAAATTTAATCTAACTGAATCAATCAGTGTGGATAGACCATGTGACATTCTCGGCGTTGGAGCGTGTATTATTGCGCTTGGGCGTGGCACAGCAACCACTCTGAATGTACGCCTGGGGCTTTATTAATAAGGAATGAGCAGCCTGAGAAGATGGCGAGCAAATCCGGTGAACACAATTTTACTCACTAAATCACATAAGAAATTCTTATCCTCGTACATGATGAGAATAATGTTCTCTCGGGACAGAATATGGGTTGACCATGGCGGGGAATATTTTCACGTATACATGTATTCAGAACGTTTTGTTTACACGTTTTTAATAGAGTGGTATACGTATATCAATGCTACGCTCACTGATTTTTAAATTAATATTATTATATTAGACTTCCACCCACGCCAATTGAGTTAAAAGGACAAATCTTGCCACGACAAGAATTCCTAGTGGTTTGCTGAGCAAAATTCTGCTGACTTAGATAAGGTTACTCACTGAAAGGAAGGAATAGTGAAACTAATATATGTAATTGTGGCGTGAAACCTATAGGTGGAATCTGATTGTCTTGGAATTTCTATCGCAAATGGCGCGTCAACACCTTTAAATAGATGTGTGGGTAGAAGAGTATATTGCAAATCCTTGACACGTGACTTGCCAGCACATCGAAAGTTGCTCGTCCCAACTCGCGGTGAGTGGAACGTCCTATAAATGTTAGGCTATACATCGTTTTTCTGTTTTTTTTTAGTTTTTTTTATTTTATTCCACGAATAATAAAATCAGCGTTCAGAATTATCCTTTATATACAGAGTGTGTAGAATTTGAAATTATTGGCGATGCTCATATCAGCGTTGGCGACAAAGCATGTCAAACTTAAGTATACATGTAGTTTCGATAGTAAGTTTTGTTCTGGATGTGATCTTATAATGGAATACTACGTATTTCATAAAACCATGGATGTGTAATGGACATTTATGAAATACTAACCCATAAAGATTATTGCGCTTCATGTAAAACCAAAGAAAACGCTTTCATTGGATGTAGAAGCCATTTGGTAATGACTATTTACCAATGAGTGTTTGTTGGCTTCCCTATTGGGTGATTTACGGCCATACATTCCAATCACGTGGTGGTTGGTCAAGTGGTTTTCAACCATCATTTGAATTTTATAAAATATTTATAAATATTTAGATAAAACAAATCCATGCCTTCATAAAAACATAGTATGATATTTCATATGGGTAGTGTAAGATATATGGGTATGAACAGAAATCGGTGGAATCCATTGCCTGGAAGGATTGTCTTATTAGTCGTAGTTAGTTCCTATTAGTTTTTTGTTATGATATTCTGGCAATTCGTCGTTATTTTACAGTAATTTTTTGGCTCTTCAGTACCACACTCACTATCTGGTGACTGGTGAATGAATATTTTGAATTCCGGGCTTTTCGAATTGTGATGTACTACTAACTGATTGGTTATTACCTTGACAGTAGCGGTCGACGACAGATCTCACCTTATGTTAAAGCTACGTAAATAACATGTCAAGTTTGAAGGTGAATGTTACTAAGTATAGGATAGTACAATGACCTTCAACGGAAGCGACTGAAGCGAGACTGGATACTGGTGGTTATCATTATCGCATATACCCGCTTTTCCTGTTTCCACGGAGACTAGGGGCATTTCTTTCTCTTTGTCACAATCTGTGGAGTATGAATGCTTCATACTTTCTAGATAAAAGATAGGTACGACGATGTTTCATCTGTACTTTGGGAAAATAAATCCGCAAATCGACAGCCAGGACAGAATAGTTTATATAAGTTCATTTATTTTGTAAATAATAAAATAAAATGTAATCTCTAGTATCCCGATTTACACATTAATTCACGTAAATACAGTTTGCATCTTATTAACAATAACAAACTTATTTTTACAAACATTTAAAGGGCGGTAGTCGTCGCGCCACGCATGTGCGAGATATATGGGTCTCATATAAACAAAGATTGCGACTTTGCCTGTTGTGCAGATCAACAAGTACAAAATGAGACGTTACCAAGCTTTAATTAGAACTTTTCAGGTGATTGGAAGATATCAAAGGAGTGACCAGCGGTAATTGGTGCAAGTCGCTCCCAGATCAAACCTCATACTTGTGATTTCAATTAGAAGAGGGCATTGGATTGTGGGAAAATCCAAATCAACACAAATGTCGCACATGCGCAGCGCGACGACTTCCGCCATTTAAATACCAAAATGATAAATGAACAGCTCTAGAATAAACAAATTTTAAAAGACAGCTGTTGTGCCAGTTACCAGTTCTTCACTAATCATAATGGAGCATTGGTGATATATTTTGCAAACTGGATTAAATTGTTGTTATCTTGGTTTTAGTAAAATTATCTGTCAGTCTATAAGGAGGGTAATTCCTCGCAATATATCTCGGTCAGGTATATCGCACTTGTAGAAAATAAGATGCTTTTTGTACTGCAACGATTTTGAAATTGACCAATCGAACAAATTGGTGATCTCATGATCTGTCTTCACGTTTTAAGCGTTTCAGTTCTTATTCTATCAACTTATAGGATATTTCCCATCGTTAAGATATGTTATTGCTCCATTCACAGAGAATAGAAACATTGGTCGTCTATTATAATGGGAAGAAATTCAGGAAAAGGGTGTTTCAAGTATATATGTTTTACAATAGTTTGGTTTAATACATGCACCACCAGTTGAGGTGAAAGAAAATACAAACATTAATAATAACAGAAGAACGACTTTACAACATTGGTACTACTAGCATTAAATATTAATGATTGTAATACAAGGAATATATCCAAATCTACTGTCAATTTGTGGATTATAATTATATTACTCTCAGATCAGAAATTGTTTTTGTTAACTTGCTGAATGTAGACATAGATTGCTGGGAGCCACTATTGACAACAAATTTCGAATTTCAATTTAAAATTTTACATAATATTTTACCAACAAATATTGTGTTGTGTAAACGGACGCCCCCTAGAGTTGAATCAGAAAAATGTACATTTGGTAATTCTGAAGCTGAAACATTAATTTTTATTTTTTGTAATTGTAGTTATATTGAAGAATTTTTGGAATGTTTTTTACCTTAAGGGGAAGGAAGGAAACTTGGTTTACATACTGCCCTCTATGCAGCACAAACTATCCTTGGAAACGAACAGAAAACTTGCTTGACTAATTTTTTATTTATATATCTCGGACAAAGAAACAAATTCCTGATTTTATTGGATACAAAAAATATGTACAGCATATTCAAACATTAGAATATTTTATTACTTTGAGAAGGAATAAATTAAATAGCCATATAAAGAAATGATAATTACTTGAAAACAGTTTACAAGTGAACTGAGTACAGTTATTACTGTAATATTTCAATTATACTGTTACATGTAAAGCAGCCAAACCTTTCGGCATTTTAAAAACAGTGCTGTAACAATTTCCATATTACATGACATCTGAAATGTATCTTTAATAATAAAGCTCCGAAAATATTGCTGCGAACTTATAACATTTTATAGTTGTAAACCTATACATACCAAAACAATGGCACACTCTTATATAGACATTCATAAAAGATAAACGGAGGTTGTTTTTTGTCTGAATTATGTCCAATGTTTAGCAGAAAATCGAGAACAAGCGTAGGTATCTATTTACCCAAGTAAATGAGGAGAACACCTTCCTAATAATTTGCTATCCTAAATAAGACCCAGTATTTGAATGGGATACCCTTAGCGACATCTTCAAACAAGGTTTGCAGGACCATTAGAAATAATGTAAATTCAAAGTTAAGTCTATGTTGGGATAAACCAGATAAACTAAGTCGAGGCTCTGAATGGGGTTGATACACACAAGCTAGAATGTGACCTGGCGGAGGGGGAGTGTCAATATTTACAGCTATGGCATGGCTAATTACACACACATTTACTGTTAACTCACAATTCTCTGAAATCAATACGCACAATCTCAGACAACACTTTCCAATGAGAGACGCTAATTCCATGATGGCATTTTGTGTGTGTGTGTGGGAGTGTGTTAATCAACACTATGAATTGGCGGCGTGTCGGTAAGATAATTTGTAGCAGCGCAAATCCCCAAGAGGTATGTATAATGTTTGGCACTTTCTGCTCTGTTTGAGATGGTGGATGTCCTGTGTTTGAACCGCAGAATGAACCAGGTTAATTCGAACCCACGTATAGCATTACAAGCAATGTATGGCTGACATACTCCATTTTATTTTGACATGCACTAATAAATCGATATCATTTCGCAAATTGGTTATAAAATGTATATGAACAAACAACAATTTGAAATAAACAAATACATAAATACACACATAAATAAATTAAACAAATACAGGTTGTGTACATCACACAACATATTTTTTCGTTATGTGCTCGAGTTTTTAATTATTTATTCATATGACATTCACCTAAATTGATATTGTATCAACAGATACTATAAAATTGTGTACTTGATTTATGATAACTCGTAGTCCCATAGTTGGATGGTCGCTGTATTATGCCAAGGGAATTTTGACGGGAAAATCACCTGATCCGGCCAGTACCTCTATAATGCATGACCAAAGTGTTGAGAATATTGGTAGAAAAGTTACCCATTTGGGTGGCACATGCCCATAATGGCCCCAAGAGTTGAGATTATTTGTACAAAAGTTACCCATTGGGGGGGGGGGTACATACCCATATTGACCCCAATTGTTTAGATTATTGGTTGAAAAGTTACCCATTTGGATGGCACATGCCCATATTGGCTGGACCAAGTGTTTAGATTAATGGCAAAAAGGTTACCCATTTGGGTGGCACAAACCAATAATGGCCCCAAGTGTTGAGATTATTGGTAGAAAAGTTACCCAATTGGGTGGCACATGCCCATATTGGCTGGACCAAGTGTTTAGATTAATGGCAAAAAGGTTACCCATTTGGGTGGCACAAACCAATAATGGCCCCAAGTGTTGAGATTATTGGTAGAAAAGTTACCCAATTGGGTGGCACATGCCCATATTGGCTGGAACAAGTGTTAAGATTATTGGTTGAAAAGTTACCCATTTGGTGGCACATGCCTATATTGGCTTGGCCATGTTTTGAGATTATTGGTTGAAAAGTTACCCATTTGGGTGGCACATGCCCATATTGGCTTGACCAAATGTTAAGATTAATGGCCAACAGGTTACCCATTTGGATGGCATAAACAAAAAATGGCCCCAAGTGTTGAGATTTTTGGTAGAAAAGTTACCCATTTGGATGGCACATACCCATAATGACTTGGTCAAATGTTGAGAATATTGGTAGAAAAGTTACCCATTTGGATGGCACATACCCATAATGGCTTGGCCAAATGTTGAGATTAATGGCCAAAAGGTTATCCATTTGGGTGGCACAAACAAATAATGGCCCCAAGTGTCGAGAACATTGGTAGAAAAATTACCCATTTGGATGGCACATACCCATATTGGCTTGAACATGTGTTGAGATTAATGGCCAACAGGTTACCTATTTGGATGGCACAAACAAATAATGGCCCCAAGTGTTGAGATTATTGGTAGAAGAGTTACCCATTTGGGTGGCACATACCCATATTGGCTTGGTCAAATGTTGAGATTAATGGCAAAAAGGTTACCCATTTGGGTGGCACAAACAAATAATGGCCCCAAGTGTTGAGAATATTGGTAGAAAAGTTACCCATTTGGATGGCACATACCCATAATGACCCCCAAGTGTTGTGATTATTGGTAGAAAAGGTATCCATTTGGGTGTAACATACCCATAATGGACCCAAGTGTTGAGAATATATTGTCAGAAAGGTTACCCATTTGGGTGGCACATACCCATAATGGCCCCAAGAGTTGAGATTATTCATAGAAAAGTTACCATTATTTGTGAATGGTATCTATACCCATGCAATCTAGAGAAGAAAGGGACAACCAAAACATCTCCACACTGCTTCACCATGGGAATCAAAACCACAATCAGTCTGATGCTGAGCATGCATAAATTCATGTTTGTAAATTCATATTCAGATACACCAAAAGATTCAGAATATTTTTTTATACATTATTGAATACTCTGAAGTCAATGTGATCCTTTGCTGTCAAACGATATTTGATATATATCCTAGTAAACCTGCCTAAAAATTACACTTGCTTGTATTAAAGAACTCCAAACACCCAAATCTATCTCTTTAGTGATTGGTTCAGACAAGTTTCATTGAATAATGCAAGTACATGCCTGAAGATTACAAGCAAAACAATAAATTGTAAAGAATTCTTGTTAAAATAATCAAAAAATGACAAAGAAAAAGTTAAATTTCCTTAAATACTTTATTTACAATATTGTGTATTGTAGAGATGTCATGTGAGGTATACCAGGCTAGACAACAAACAAATTCTTCAAAAACACTGTTTGGGTATTGTAGAGATGTCATGTGAGGTATACCAGGCTAGACAACAACAAACAAGATCTCAAAATGCTATGCAGGTATTGACATAATGGACTAGTATTGGTAAAGGCAACAAAGAGAATCAGGGATAGGTTTTTATGCAAAACAAACTTTTATTGTATGTGTAGAAATATAAGTGTCATAATGTTTGCATGAATACAATAGGTATTTACCGAGTGTGAATATTGGATAAACCAGTGTTAGAAGTTTGAAAAACTCTCAAATGCAAAATAAACAATTGCGGTTCTGATATTTTTAGAATTCATTTGTTTTGTCACATAAAGCCGCAGTGTTGGCGTAAAAATGGGCAAAGTACTGCAGACAAATCTGTTAACTCCACTTTGTATTACAATTTTTGCATTTATAGTTGTTGAAATTACACTGACAACGACTTTTTTCAAACAGTCCTTTGCAGCTCTGGTAGAATTGCCTAGCTTTCCAACTCTTCAACATGTGATTTTAGGCTCCCAGACTTTTCTCAAATATTAAATCACTTGCTGATTATTGGAAAATTCTATCTTTATCAAACTAACATGAAGAACCACCCACCTGTGTTTACAAATTTTGAGGATGGCTCTAGTGTTTAGAAATAGTGTAAACTGTTTTGGTACCAGTTATGCTGTAGATTTCATTATTGTACTTTACCATTTGTAGTTTAGTTTTTTACAAATTTATGATGAAAGAGTGTATGGATAAATAACCCCAAATGACCTTGCATGTTTTTTAATTTGTTTTTAATTTTTTTTTCCCACTTAGTTTGTATATTCTTGTGTAATTCTTTTTCTGTCTTAAATAAAAAATAAAATAAAAAATTAAATCCACATGATATTTACATGACAATAAATAAACTGTGATAGGAATGGGATAAATGATTTTCTTTGGTGTGTAAATCAAATGCTCAGTTTGTTCAAGCCAGACAAATGTGAAGGCAGCCAATTTGCTGCTGCTGCCCACTCTAATTGAATTAAAACAATGAAATCTCCCACTGGCTTCACAGGAACTTTTCCCACTGGTATTACACAAATGTTGCTGTATATATTCAACAAAAACCGATTACAGCCTACACAAAAATAACATTTCCCATATAATATTACACGTATCAAGCCTGAAGACAAACCATTCATTTTGAGTGAGTGCATCAGCAAATAATTCAATTGACTACCCCTCTACTAGGATTTCATCAACAGTGCTACTTGGAATAGTAGAGCAATTGGCAGAACTACTCAACAAACTAATACTGTCTGTTATGTAGGCTTTATTGTAAACCTATGAATGTCTTTATTTTTCCCAGCAAATTTTTTGTGCAATATTTTGTACATTTGTATGTATTTTTCTATGATATCTCTGTTAATTTTTGATCAAATGGAAATAAATTACCATTGGTTTTGATCAACAATTCTACAAAAATATGAAAAAAAGGTAACAAAAATGTCTTTGTAGTTGAAAAGATTAACACATCTCCCGCTGATAGCCTCAACGAAATGAATGAGAAAAAACAGCAGGAGAAGTATTAGGTAAACTTATTTGCTTAAAAATCTGAAGACTAGAAGAGAATTCAGTGGTCTCATGACACAAGAGAGGACCAGCCTTCTTTGCCGCCTTTAGATGTCTGTTCGTCCCAGCGAAGTAATCCATCATGCGTGTCTCTATGTGTGGTTCCTCTCCTCAACTTAGTTTGTGGATTCCCCCACTCGGGTTGTCGCAGTGCATGGTACTTCCAGGCAAACGACACCATAGCAACCTGTAAAAACACAGTGAAACAATGAGAAACTTGCTCAAAATAGAAAAGATAATCTATCTACCCCTTGGCAATAGACCAGGTCCCTGATTTCAACCATCTATTAAACTGAGAACAAAATAATCATGTATAGATCATTTTTCTTGACTTGACACAACCTTTATTATGTATGTTCCAAATAAAATACTCTATCCTACCCTATTCTATTTTTTTTGGGGGGGGGGGCAAAAAAAAAAAATTAAATGATGCTAGGTACATATAACATAACATAAAAGATGTCTTACAAGAAAGTTTGTTCTAAGTCTGATTTTTCAACTTACAGGTACGAATGGCTCCTTCTTGTTGTCTTGTTCCGTCTTTTTGAGTTCCTCAGCTGAGAGCAAAGGTAACCTAACATGTGATATGACAGACTCTGCTACAATGCCAATTTTTTTATGCACTACAGCCTATATAAATACAGTGAAAACAAAGAAAACCATCAGAAATGTAAGACCTGACAGCATTGTTTACAGTTTGATTGGAAGACTGTACCGGTTACTTTAACTTGATATTTGATATTGGTAATAGGAAAATGGTTAGCCAATTTACGCCACACTAGAACAACATCATTACATGTCAATAACATTCTGCAGGAGAAATATTGGATCACATTTATACTAGTCATTTTGTCATCACAACTGGCACAACTGATAGCTACTACAGTGACCATCATGTTATTATATATTTAATATAAAATACCAAATTATGGCTGCCGACATGCACATAGTTAGAAAAGTGCATCAGCTGCTCAAAACTGACAACTATATATATATATAAAACATCTAGCAACACTATCAGATTTTAATCAGATACATGTATATGCAAATCATTCTCATATTTTATACTGTTGAATTTCTTTTCATCACAGTTTTGGGGCGAAAAATTAATGAATTCTCAATGAAACTGTTTCAACATCCACATACATGATTGTTACTAAGAGTTTCTTAATCTGGAACCATTCAAAATATGCATTTCACAAGAGAATGGCTGGGTATTAATTTTCCTTAGAGACATGTGTATACCTAGGGCATAAATTTAAAATAAACATGTGTCTCTCTCTAAAAAAAAAGGAGGTACATGTAGGTACAGTACAGTCTGGGTGTAACTTAACATCCAATCTGGCTATAGCTAGCTTTGCTTTTTCATAACAACTGATCATCTTTAAAGTGAGTACCAGTATATGTCATTTATAATTTCAACTTATTCTGTGTAGTACCGTATTTACCTATGACGCTGCACAATTTAGATATGTGGCAGTTTTAAAAGCAACCTAGGCTAGTTTTAAGGCAGCTCAAATTAAGGCAGCTTTTAAGCTATGCCTGGATTAGATTGTAAGTACCTTTTTCTATTTTAGAAAGATTCAAAATTATTCCAGTCTTTATAGAAACTACAAATTTTCAATGTTTTTTTTGATAATGTTTCAATCAACCTTAAATCAAATCAAATGTACATTCACGGTGTCTGCAGTTTAAAGGGCAGTGGTCATCGTGCCGCGTCCTGTTCGATATGGGACTCATAGCGACGTACACAACGCGTGTAAAATACATTCAATTATTTATATGAAATTCGACCACCATGCTTTAAAGTATTATTTTTAGCATTGTCTTTCTATCTGAAGTATCCAATTCTATTTTGACAAGGATTGTCTAATATACTGTAGAATACTTTATTTTCGCTTGGAATTTATTTTCCCTATTTTTGCTGAAGGGATGTTTCCGTGAAAATAAAATCCAGCGAATATACTTTTTTTCCCATATTTCACATTAAACTCATCAAAAATCAGTGAAAATAAATTCCACACAAAATGCCCAAAAAGCTTTTTCAGCGAAAATTAATTCCAGTGAAAATAAAGTATTCCACAGTACCAAAATATTCATTTTTTTTTCTATGTTTATTGTCTGATTGTTAAAAATAAATGACTAAAAATAGCACTTCCTAAACACAGTTACTGCAAATACACAGAGAAAAGATGGAAGGCTAATGATATCCACAGGAAATTGAGGTAGCTATTTGATTTTTATATTTCTGTTATTATTGTTTCAGTAATCAATGATTCATTATTGATCAATGTTTAATGAGTATAGTTTCCCTGGATATTAAGAGCCATTTTAAAAACTTTTATTGGTCATTTTATGCAAATTTGATATTTAATATGCAAGGATTTACCATTGAAATCTAAAGAGTGGATCTTGAGATATCTATGCGAACATCTAAAATTTGGCTAATTATTTAAATCAGGTCATTAATATACACAAATTTCAACATTGAATTCATTGAGAGATATACTGTACCTCTAATGTACCCAGTTTCATTTAAATCTGTGGTTCTTGGTATATCTGTAAGTTTTTTACTTTTTGCAAATTAGGTAATTAATAAGCATGAATTTAAATTCTATCGGTAAGTAAAAAAGAACCAGTAAGTTTATTATTCAAGAGCGTCTATGTACCAAGTTTAATTGAAAATTGAGAAGTACAGGAAATATCTGTTGAACAATAGGATAGTTCATGCAAATTATGTACCGTAATTAGTTACGAATTTCAATCTAAAACTAATCAGATCTGCACATAGCACCAAGGCTAGGTACCTTGTACCAAGTTTCATAGATATGTAATGATGGAAAATCTGAAAATTTACTAATTATTAAGCTGATTATGTAATTAAGTATGAATTGATTTAAATTCTAAAATAATCAGGTCTGAAGATTGTTTACAAGTACCTACACATGTATGTACCAAGTGTTATTCAAATGCAATGATTAGTACCATAAATATTGATACATTGCGCCATAGCATCTATATTCTAAGATTTATTGAAAAGCGATGTTTAATTCTTTACGTATCTGTGTAGACATACAGAAGCCAAAAATATAGTTATCCTGAAAATAAATAGGAATCTGGAATTTTATTTCCTTGATATCAGGGCAGAGTTCTTTGTTATATATAAATTATATAATTCATACACATTTATAACCTTATTTCATTTATTGTTTGTGTTTGTGTTGTTTATAAACAAACAGTTACACTGGAAATGGTTTAAAATTTTATGAAAAGAGGGGCAAATTGGAAGTTGTGTAGTAGTGAATATTTCAAATTCACTGTCACAGTGACTATCACAAAATATCATCTTTGTGAACTGCTGAAATATTATCAAATCATAATCATCTCGGGAAAATGGATTATGATAAAAAAAATCATGGTTTTGGCAGTCCGTTAAAATGTGTACATCACTGTTTTTTTGCAGTGTTTTGTCAGTATTGTCAACTAAACAAAAACAAAAACTGAATTCAAAACTGATTTATTTTTCGGGCTTTGCGGTATTTTTACTTTGATTGTTTTAGCAGACAGAGGAAAAAAACAGTAACTTACTGAATTGACTAAGGCCCACTGTTTAACACAGGACAGTATGTCCATCTCATCCAGTAACAATCTATCACTTTCCAGAACAACAGAGAGGGATTCATCTGACATTTCATGGAACCCATCAGTCTTGAACACAGACTGGAAAATAAAACATAAAGCAGTGACTTCATTTGCTAGTGTATGTTTTGAATGATAATTAAGCCGGTTATATATCTGCATATTTTCAAATATCAATAACTGCAATATAAATTTTACAAATTAAAAAAAAATAAATAAAAGCTGTGCAGGAGTAGATTAACAGTAAATTATTCAAATGTATGCAAATCTGGTCCAATGTGCTTCTCATTTTGATCATAATAGTCATCCATTAAGATGACTCCTCAAAAATGATGGATTTAGTTTGTGTGTGTACCATGTATACATGTGTGTGCCATGCATGTACACACATATGCACATGCTCACAAGTGTGCCAGGCATAAATGTATGTGTGCGTCGTCGTGCATAATATCTCCAACTGATTTTGTGAAAACTTTGTACAAATTAAGCAGTGTTTTAGGTAACATATATTTGTTTTCATAATATGCGTGACTGGTGCCCATTTATGTTGTAATAATTGCAAATAAAAATGTTTTTTGTTTAACTTAAGTTAATATTTGTTGTTGTACAATGATTATATAAAAATACAATCATAAAGTACGCCCCCCCCCCTATAAGGTGTAATAATCCCAACAATGAACAAAATAAAAGTAATTAACAGTGTTTTGCTAATTAGCCAAGGCACTTCAATATTTTCTGTGGAGAACATTTTAATGCCTCTTGAACCAGCACGGACAGGTTTCATGACATGTACATACCTTAGTATTTTCTTCAATAAATTTCAAGCAAGACTCCCTGAGTTCATCTTGACCGTAAGTAACAGCTGCATGCATTGCATAGCATGCATTGGTCACAGACAAGCTTTCTATTAGATATTCTACACAAAGTTTTTTTAGTTCATCTAATCCATACTCTATAGAGGATGCCAACACGTCAACTGCCTGTAAACAGAAATGAAGTCTTACAAAATGTATAACCCCAAAAGATGACACATCCTGGTACTTTCCGGGCGTACAAATTTATAATCAGAATTTGTTGATTACATTTCCAAATAAATTAGTTGAAGTTCAAAAATAACACTGCGGTATAATATTTCTAGAAAGTTTCAGAAAGTGTAGATGTCACCAAATTTTGTCAATTGTTTCTAATCTTTAGTACAAAATTCATTTCATCAAATAACATGCACATATCAGACAAACAAGAATAATCCAATTTATAGGCTCTGAATCACATTGTGACAATGAAGTTGTGAGTTTTTACATGCACTAAGGATAGTTTTTATGTTCCCAGTAAATGCATGCAATAGTCCTAACCCTGAATGCCACAAAGTCTTTCAAGTGGGCAGTATTTACTTTTTTGTTAACTGCTTAGTGTGTTGAGCGAATCAGACCGGTAATCTCAGGACACAATTCCTAACCAAATACTGTAAACTACTTTATTTTAGCTGGAATTAATTTTTGCTGAAAAAGCTTTTTGGGTGTTTTGTATGGAATTTATTTTCACTGATTTTTGATGAGGTGAATGTAAAATATAGGAAAAAATGTATATTCGCTGGATTTTATTTTTCACTGAATCATTCCTTTAGCGAAAATAGCGAAAATTAAATCCAAGCGAAAATAAAGTGTTTTACAGTACTTCATGATGTTGGCAAAATGGGCCAGCATAATTTTTTTCAATGGCATATTGTTTCAATTAGTTTAAAATTAACAAAGAAATTATTGAGAAATACACAGAAATTTGCAAAAGGTAGTATCAAAACTTTGGCAGAATAAATTGTGCCGTTCAAAGAATATATCACAATAGTGGTCACACATACTGCCCCATGGTTTCTATGAAACCTTTATACTATACTGTAAACTGCTTATTTTTTGTAATTAATTTTATGGCATTCAGGAAGACAAATTTTCATGAAAGCCAAAATAGTTTTCAATGCTACAAAATTTCATGATTTTCCATGAAAAAAATTGCGAAAACTAAAGTGGTTCACAGTATGTTAAATACATTGATTGCGTGACCGCGAAAGAAAGGGATTTGGCTAGTTTTCGTGATCAAGCTAAAAAGGCCAAATTGTCAATTAATTATATTTTTTTTTGTAAAACAAAAATAAAGTCCTGACTTTGCCAGTCTAATTGTTTGTTTACAATGACTTCATTATTATTTATGCAGATTATACACCACACCAAAATTAATTTTTTTATTAGTTAAAAAGTTATTCAAATTTTTGGTTGTCTGTAATGGCACAGTTATCAGTAACCATGGTAATGAGCAATTTACATGAACTTACTATTTTGCCACTTAACGTGACACAGTTTGTGTAAATAAATTCTAGAACAGCTAAAAATATCTCTGGGTCCACATCTGAGAGAATAAATGGTACTGTGTTATCTTCTCCCGATGCTGCCTGGTCTGAAAACATTGCACGGAATACTTCACAACGCGAGGACAAAACACAACGATGTGCGAATATTGTACGTCTATTTTCACCTACCACAAACTTGACATCACTGAAAATAAAACAAAAGTATGATAATATATCGACCACGAGAGGGCGCCATCACCAAAATAACTGATTACACTGGACAACCGGGTACAGTGAAGGCCAAATGGCATTCGCTTAACTTTTACTTCAACCCGACCAGAATACAAACTACTATACGTAAATTCTACCACTGTCAACATTTTACATCGTATTACTTCGTCATGGATGACATATATGCTGCATTTTAAAGTACACAACTTGATTAGAACTGTCGTCGTCGATATTTGTTCTTACCTCATGTCCTTGTGGTTTATCAATTTTCTCATCTCCCGGGCAAAGAGAGAAATATCTCCCTTCATGAACTGTTCATTTGCCATGTTGACGTACAATTGCAACAGCAAACCGATTAAATAGAAATGACTGTTGCAGACGATGCCCCGAGAAATATCGCAGAACGACAACTTCCGCTGTTTATGCTAGTAACCGCTATTTAATTAATTGTGTAGTCCTCCCGTTGGCATAGGAATATTCGTTCCAGTTATAATCATAAGTATTATATAGTCCCGTCATGTTTGTTTACATGAAGAATAAATACTAGTACATGTCATGACTGTCAATGAATCGCGTACAATGCTTTGAAAATAGTTTATACGTTAGAATCATCCAAAAAATAGTTGGAGGAACGATGGCAATAGTAACAGCCACAAATAATTGTCGTGAGCATGCGTACAATAACGTAAACTATGACCTCCCAGCCGATACTATTTCATCTTTTTATCTTACTATTTCTCCCAGCCGGTACTACATTGTTATTTCTTACAATATAAAAATAACAAAATGGCAGAGCTCCAGAAGGAGTACCTACACTTTATGCAAATTTTTTTAAAATTATGCTAATTTATTCATGACGTAGCAGTTTCTGTGCTCATGAATATTCATTAATTTGTGGGTCATTACATTTTAAAAGGGGCGATATATTATTTTTGGGGGAAGAGTTAGAGAGGGGGATTAGCAATCCTTAGGGGTCAATACAAAAGAAGGGACCCATTTGGAGAGCAGCCATGCTCCTCGTGTCTGTTGTTGCACGTGACCTACAGCTGTCAACTGTGTTAGTTCTTCGACTTTGTTCGTTCTTTGACGACTTCGACTGGCTT